TGTGTGTGTGTGTGTGTGTGTATGTGTGTGTGTGTGTGTGTGTGTGTGTGTGTACCATCAAATCACTTCTGACTGGTACAGGAGGAGATTGCCCCTCCTTCTCCAGCAGAGAATCTGGTGAATGGTGAATTCAAACCGCTCGTCTCTGGGATTGCAGTGCAGCTTCTTGCCACTAGGCCACCAGAGGTCCCTTCTTTTCTAGTCTTAAATAGACTTAAAATAGCTATCCTCTCAACCTGCTTGTCTGTCTGAACATAAGAAACTCTACTTTATCTCCAACCAAACTCATTCTTGCTGCAACTCCTTTTGTTTCTGCCTTTATGGAAAAGAATGCTGTCATCAGAACCCTAAAGCTTTCTTTTCCTTCTCTTCTCTCTCTGCTGTGTGCTGTGTGTGGTGGTTGGAAGGCGAGCAAGAAGGTTGAGCTGAGCTTGCCAAGCAACACCACTCATCTATATAAATGGTGATGATAATGGTGTTACTGATAACCGTGACGCACATGGATGGGATTGCTAAGGAGTTGGATAAAATTTTAATCACCCCTTGTTCTGCAGGGCAGGCAACAAACCATCTACATAATAATCTCCTCCTGGGCTGTCACAACAGAGCAACCTAATTAGAAGAAGGAAGGTAGGAACTGTTGGCAAGTAACAATAGTGGAGGCTGGGAGGGGTGAGTGGGCAGGTGGTATTCAGTTAGAAGTTAAGATTCCACTCTGAATTACCTAAATAATCTTCTCAATTATTTCCCTCCCTGTTGTGGTACTTGTATTTTTCTATCTGGGATGTGAATAGTGTGAACATGGGTCTGAAAAACCAGTTGCACTGAAACATTCCAGTAAACTAGCAAAACAGAGGGTCTGGTGGACACTAAGAGAGGGAGGGTGGCAAGCCCAGAACAGCCTTCCCCGAGGGACTTTTGGCCCAAGCCCACAACCCAGAGGTGCTCTGGGCAGGGTTGAGTGGGACCATGTAGTGCAGACTGTGGCAGTCAGGACAAGAAGGACCAGTCACAATGGGGGTTTGGTGCTGAGCATGAGTTTATTGGCTTCTGGGCTCACGCTTTCTGTTGTTGCTTGATGAAGCTCATCAGCCCAATGGTGGAAGAATCATGACAGGTCACTGGGTGGGTGCCTTCAAGTTCAGGTTCAGTTCTCTAAGCCAGCTGCTTGCCCAGCTCCACTCCCCACTGCTCAAAGCTGTTGATGTCCCAGATGACTCTCTGAATGAAGATCTTAAGCTCACACATGGCAATCAAGGCTCCAAGAATAAATGGTGTGAGCTTGGCGAACACAGTGGAATTGATTGGTCAATTTCCTTTAAAGACCTCGTGTGGCGGCAACTTGTCCAGTTCCCCTGGACTACTTCCTGTCATCTGAAGCACTTTCTGGGCCTCTTCTTTTGTCTTCCCCTTCATCAGGGCCTCATTGTGGGCTAAGAAGTTGGCCAGAAGAATCTTGTGATGCAAACCATTCTGTGTAGGGTGTGGGTCTGGACCAGGATAAGGAAGTCACAAGGTATCATCCTGGTGCCTTGGTGGATAAGCTGGTAGAAGGCATGCTGGCCATGGGTCCCTGGCTCCCACCACAAGATGGGGCCCATCTGGTGGTCCACACGGATGCTGGACTTGGTAATGTACTTCCTATTTGATTCCATGTCACCCTGCTGGAAGTAGGCAGCAAAGTGATGGAGGTACTGGTCCTAGGGCAGCAGAGCCTGAGTCTCACAGCTGAAGCAGCTGATGTACCGGATCCCCAGCAGAGCCAGCAGGACAGGGGCATTCTTCTCCAGGGGCACAGTGTGGAAGTGCTGGTCCATCCAGTGTGCCCCTGACAGCAGCTGCTCAAAGTTATCAAAGCCTGTGTGCAGGGCACTGGAGAGTCCAATGGCTGACCACAGTGAGTACCACCCTCCTACCCAATCCCAGAACTCAAACTTGTTTTGTGGGTCAATTCAAAATTCCTTCACTTTGGTCGTGTTGGTAGACAGGGCAACAAAGTGCTTCATGGCTGCAGAAGGGTCCTTTGCCAACATGAGGACCCACTCCTTCCCTGTCCCTGGATTGGTGATGGTCTCCTGGGTCGCAAACGTCTTGGAGGCAATGATGAACAGGGAAGACTCAGGGCTCAGTGAGGCCAGGGTTTTAGCAACATGGGTCCCATCAATGTTGGAGACAAACCAGACTCGGGGACCACCTGCAGAGTATGACTTGAGGGCTTCAGTCACCATGAGGGGTCCCAGGTCGGAGCCCCCTAATGCCTATGTTGATCACGTCTGTAATGGGCTTGCCTGTGTACCACTTCCAGTCACCACTTCGGACATGCTGGCAGAAAGACTTCATCTTGTCCAGCGCCCTGTTGACCCCGAGCATCACATCCCTGGTGTCCACCACGATGGGCGTGTTCGACCATTTCCGCAGGGCCACATGCAGCACAGCTCGGCTGGGTCCTCAGTGAAGGTGATCTTCTCCCCATTGAACATGTGCTCCCTGGCAGCCCCCACACCCCTGGACTTGGCCAGGCCCACCAGCATCCGCATGACTTCCTCCATCACCAGGTTCTTGGAGTAATCCTGCAGAATCTGCCCATGGATGGTGTTGAGGGTCAAGCTGAAGCGGTTGAAGTGCTCCTTGTCCAGTCGACAAGCCCGCGCAGGCTGAACTTGGAGCTGTGGGCTCTGCTGCAGCTTCTGGAGCTGCAGGGGGTGCAAGTGAGCGTGACCATGGCAGTAACGCTGCATGCAGGACTGAGACCCGCCGGGAGGTGGCACAGGGCCTCAGCTTCTTAATTCTCTACTTTATTCATAGGATGTTGTTGTCTGGTGCCATCGAGTAGATTATGACTCATAGCAACCCTGTGAACAATAGTTCTGATCCTGCACCATCCCCACCATCTCTGCCAGACTTGAGCCCACTGTCACACTCGCTCTGTCAATCCACCTTGTCTAGGGGCTTCCTCCCTTTATCTGACTCTCCACCTTTCCCAACATGCTGCCTTTTTCCAAGGACTGGCCCCTCGTCACAATATGCCCAAAGTATGTGAGACAAGGTTCACTGTTCTTGCCTCGAAGGAGCACCCTGGTTGCACATCCTTCAAGTTTGTTCTTTGGGCAGTCCATGGGATACACAATACTCTTTGTCAACATTGCAATTCAAAGGCATTGATTCTTCTTTGGTCATTCTTATCCCTGTTTTCCTCCGCTTTCTTTGCAATTATATGGAAGCCATTTAGCTAATGAAGGAAATGACCGATATCACTTTTAGGCTGAGGAAGTTATAAGTTAATGCTCCGACCTTGCCCCCTTCACAGCAATATCAGAGGTTACATGGCCCACGTGTCCAGCTGCAAAAGGGTGGATTTGGAAGCCTCTTGGTTACCAAATGAAGTTGTAAAACAGAATAACATGCAGTCAATCCTCCTCACCTCCCAACCTGTGTAAGAGACAGGACATGACTGAGATATGAATTTATATTGGCTAAACCACCAAGAACTCGGGGTTTGACTGCTAAGACATTGTTGGTTTTGCTGTTCAGTGCTGTGAGTAGATTAGAGCTCATAGTGACCTCATGAACAACAGATCTGAACCTTGCTCTATCCTGTGCCTTCCTCATAATCTCTGATACACTACATAGTCTACTTTCACAGACACTGAGTCAATCCATCTTGTTAAAAGTCTTCCTCTCTTTCTCTGACTCTCCGCCTTTCCCAGTAGAATGTCTTTTTGTTCCTTGAACTGTTCCAAGGACTCGTTCATGTAGACCTGATAATTTCTGCAGGCACACTCATTCCAGGCAAAAAAGAGGAAACAAAGGCATATGGGGTGTCAGGAATGTGCCCGGGAGGATACTTTGGACCTCACACCCAGACCACCTAATTTCCAAATCAGGACAAATCAGGACAGACCTAGGGGCCCAGATGGGTCTATTTTTCATGATGTGTAAATCTTACCTGGACACTGCCATCCTAAACTCCCAGGCCTCCTGGGCCTCCTTCCCCACCCGAGGTGAAGAGGAAGGTGGGGTCAGCTGAAGTAGCCATCCCTATATACCTTGGTGGTTTTGACTTTGTGTCCACTGCTGCAGCTCCATCCTGACAGGTCAGGAAGCACCTTACACTCCTCCCCGGGCAGGCAGGGCTCCATCTGACACCACCACTTCTGCAGGACAATGGAGGCTGTGGGAGCAGGAAGCAGTGAGGACAGCCTCACACTCTCTGGAGGACAGTGAGAAGGGGCGTGTGCACGTTTGCACACCCCTCTGCCTTTGAGCTCTGAATTTCCCTGGTTTTCCCCTAACCTCGACTATCCAGAGAGGCAGTGCTCATGTAGCAGCATGGGGGACACAATTATATCAACTTTAATTCCCCAGAGTCCCTACATCTCCCCATGATGGCATGAAGTGAAAGCAAAGTAGCGTTCTTTATGCACTCTTAAGTTAAGCATGTCATTAAGCATAATCTTCATCCCCCTTCCCCCATCCCATTCCTCCTTGGTGTGAATGAGTAAGAGGCCAGGAGCCTACAAATGAACCCATGCGTAGGGATGCCACGAGTGTACAGGGGTGGGGGGAGCACGTGCAGAAAGGTGAGGAAGGGGACAGGTGTGTGAGAGAAAGTATGTGTGAGCCATCTATGTGTGTCTCCATGAGAGAGGGAACGGTGGAGACACAAAGACAAATATGAGAGGAGGACATGAGCGTGGCTGCCCAGGAGAGGACCAGCAGGCAAAGGATGGCTGGAGGTGGAAGGCGTGTGAGAGGATCCATGGAGGAATGTGTCTGTCTGTGCTCAGCACCAGGTTACAGGTAGAAAGGCCTGTGAGTGTGGAAAGGCATGCATGTAACAATAGCCCCCTTATCTGTGAAATGAGGCCTGCCCTCCTTGCCCTGAAGGTCGCCCCATCATTTGAGACTCTGATCAGGAATGGTGTGGCATCAGTGTGTGAAATGGTATCCCTGACAGATGCAGAGGCCTACACAGACCTTATCTCTCTGATGAGGCCGCCCCACCTAGGCCTGGCCTCTCACTCACCATCCACACAGGAGGGCTTCGCCCGTGTGGTGCCGGCCACCTGGCCCGAGAGGCAGGAGCACTTGACTGTCTGGGAGCGCTCCTCAATGCGGTTCCGGTTGCAGCAGCGGTGTGCAGCAATCACCTCACATGCGCCCTGCTTCACGAGGCCTGAGGGGCCAGCACAAGATGGGGTATCCACACAGGCCTCTAGGCCTGTTCCCCTGCCACCCACAGGGCCAGGCCTGCTGTGCTTGCCTGCCTCTTTCCAGCTTCAGGGAGGGATAATGAAGAGATTTCCAATTGCGGGGGTGAGACAGCAGATGGAAGCTTCCTGGGCTCCCAGTGAGCACATGCTCCTCACCCCTTTGATGACCTAACCTGGCTCCCCAGGGTACAGGAGAGATGCATCCATACCAACTTCCCCCATCCAGGCCTACTAAGGGAGAGGGAGAGGGGAGAAGGGAGAGGGCAGGGGCCCAGGGGGCTTACAGTGTGTGGAGAGGATCATCCGCTTACACAGGCTTTAGCCATCCCAGAAGGAAAACCACAGAATTAGGACAGGAGGCTAGACAGACACCCCCGCCCTAGGGCCTCTCTCCCTGCAGAAAACCCGGCAGCTCGGAAGGAAGGTGAGGCACAAGCCTGCCCAAGCCTCCTCTGGGCCCAGGGAGCAGAGGAGAAGCACAGAGTTCCACAGAGGAACCTGAGTATCTACAGATTTTAGTCTACCTCAGGGTTGTGCCTGCTATGGAAAGGGGAGGAATGGTGTTTAACTCTCCAGGTATCCTGGGAATGTCTTCCCAGTCCCCACCACCTCTTCCAAACCTGTAGGGGTTGGAGATTGCAAGGAGGCCAAGGCCAGGGGAGTCCACAGCCAGACCAAACAGAGTGCCAGCAGCCAGCCGCCTGTGTTCCGGTTTTGTGTGTCCCTCTCGCTCATCCTGAGGGCAAAAGCACACTGTCTTATTCCCAGCAGGAGATCCCCCCAGTGCCTAACCCAACATCTCTGCTCCCTGTGACCTAGAAGTCACAAAGGCAGGCAGGCAGGATGTCCTCAGGCAGCTTCTAATCTGGCACAAATTCACTGTCTTGTTAGGTGCTGCCGAACCAAGTACAATTCATAGCAACCCTATGAACAACAGGTCTGAACCCTGTCCTGCCTGGGCCATCCTCACAATCGCTGATATATTTGAGGCCATTGTTTTAGTCACTGTATCAGCCCAACTTGTTGAGAGTCTTACTCTCTTTCACTGACCCTCCACCTTTCCAAACATGATGTCCCTTTCCAAGAAATAATCTTTCCTAACAACAGGCCCTGGTAGGCCTAGTGGTAAGAGTCTGCACCGCAATTCCAAAGGCACCAGCTCTGCGGGAGAAGAATGGGCAATCTCCTCACGTGATATTAACTGTCTGAAAAACCCACTGGAGGGTCAGCTATGAGTTGGTTCCACCCAATGGCACCTAACAACATGCCCAAAATATGTGAGACAAAGCTTCACCCTCTGTGCCTCCAAGGAACACTCTGGTTGCACTGTCTCCAAGACATATCTGTGTCTACTTTGTCTTAATTACTACTTGCAAGTCATTAAGAGCTCTGGTGACCTGGTGATAAGGATCTGCCTTGTCAACTCAAAGGCACACACTTGGAATCCACTAGTGACTCCACAGAAGAAAGATAAGCAATCTTCTCCCATGTGATTCACTGCCTCTGAAAACCCACTGGAGAGTCAACTATGAGTCAGTTCTCAACTCAAAAACATCCAACAACAAAGTAATTAAGAACTACAGGAGGAAAGACAAATGGAAAGGCAAAGGTAATCTTGAAGGTAAAATCAGGGAAGGCTTTGTGGAGAAGGTAGTATTCAAGATGGGTCTTAAAGGATGAGGTTATTGTCCTACAAGGACTATGAGAGGAACAGCACAATAACAACATCCATTTGTTGATCGCGTGACTCAAGTACTTCATCTACATGACCGTAAATCCTTTAGGAGTATCCTACAAAATAGTAGTATTATTACCTATTTTGTAGGTGAGCAAACTAAGGTTGAAAAACCCTGGGCACAATCTAAATGGCCATCAGTGAGGGACTGAGCATGTATAGAAAGGCAGGCCCATTTTGTTGTTGTTGTTGTTGTTATGTGCCGTCGAGTCGCCTGCGACTCATAGCGACCCTATGTACAACAGCCCTAAACTCTGCTCTGTCCTGTGCCAATCGCACTGTCTCTGACACTCCCATCCCGATTATCCCAGTCACTGAATCAATCCACCTCATAGAGGGCCTTCCTCTCCTGCGCCATCCCTCCACCCTCCCAAGCATGATGTCCCTCTCCAAGGACCGGTCTCTCCTCACTACATGTCCGAAGTAAGTTAGATGGAGCCTCAGAATCCTTGCCTCCAAGGAGCCACCCGGTTTAACTCTCTCCAGGACAAATCTATTTGTTTTCCTAGCAGTCCATGGTATTCTCAGTACTCTTCTCCAGCACCACAGCTCAAAGGCATAAGTTCTCCTTCTATCCTCCTTGGTCATTGTCCAACTCTCTGATGCATAACAGGTGATTGCGAAGACTATGGCTTGTATCAGACGCACCTTAGTCTCCAGAGAGACACCACTGCTCTTCAGCACTTTGGAGAGGTCCCTAACAGCAGACTTTCGATAGATGCGATGGTTTCCAGAGATAATCCACTATTAAAAGAAAAAAATGTATAGGATGCTGTATAAAAAAAATTCAAACATCTGTGTAAGAGAGAGGGATTATATACGTTGCTTGGATAAGAAATGATGTACAAAAATCCAGTTATTTTGGCTTCTACCAACAAGGGGAATCAGTTGACTAGGAGACAGAGGAGATAAAATCATTTTTGTCCATATTCCTCCTCCATTTTTTAAACATTCTGAGCCGTGGGAATGCATTAGATATTCAACTTAAACAAAATTTCCATATGATAAAGAAGGAAAATGAGGCCAACCGCAACTAAATGGCTTGCCCGGTGCCACCTCACTTGTGGGTGGCAGAGCCTAGGAACCTAGTCCCACTGCACCTCCTTACTTCCTCCACCTTCTTCCTCTTTCCTCCTCCCCAGCTCCCTACTCCATCCTTGATGGCTTAGACTCCCCACATCTATTGCAGAGGGTGGGCTAGCATGGAGGGAGTTCTAGGGAGCAGAGACATAAAACGACTGGCAGCTGCCCAGACAGAGGAAAGGGCGGTGGCAGCCCAGGGCAGCAGAACCTCAAGCTCAGGATTTAGAACTGGATCCCTGCTCTACCACCCTCACTGTCCCTGGGGTCCCTCAGGACTCCTTCACTCCTGGGCACCAGGAGTCAACTCCAAATATCAGGCCCAATTTCCTCCCTTGGAAACTTTATCTCCCTTCTTCCCATCTTCAACAGCCTCCTCACTCACCTTTTTTGGGAATCTTTTGGCTTGTTGGTTCATCCACTGACCTCAGCCTCACAGCCTCGCTTTACCTGGACAAGTAAACACAATTACTTGGGGACTGCAAGGGCAGAAGGCAGCTATGGCACAAGAGTGAGGGAGGAAAACAGAATGGACAAGTGGGTATACTGGACACTGGAAGTGAAGAGAGCCCAGCTCCGAAGCTGTTTCCTCTGGTGCTCACACAGGATCCTCTTATCCTGGGACTCTACAGGGCCATGAAGACTCAGGGAAAATGTAGGACGGTGACTCTGTGAAGAATGCTTTGGGGATTTTTTTTTTTTTTGGTTTCAGGAGAAAGTGGAGGATCAAGGAAAGTTCTGGAGCAGAATCTGATCACCTCCTGCCTGAAGAGGGGCCTAGGGAGGATCCCTTAGGTGTCTCTGGATCTTGTTGACCTCTGCCTCCTACCCCCACACCTGCTGTCTAGATTTGCAGGGAGCTGGCCCTGCTCTACCGCCTTTCCCTTCATTATCTCCACAGAGAGTTAGAAATAGGGCAGGGACACTAGGTTTCAGAGCCCAGGCGGCCACTGATCCCATCAGCATCTCCAGCTGTCGTAAAGACCTTTAACAGAGGTGGAACCGAAGCAGGTGGGATGATGGAGTCCCAGGATAGAGAGAGGTAACCTGCATCCCAGCTCCCAGACTGGAGCCTAGAAGAGATTATGGAGGCAGGAAAGAGTGTGGCCGCACCCCTAGGATGGGGTTGCTAGAGATTGAGATCCCCATTCTTGTAGGTACTCTTCCTTCTGAGTGGGTGTCTCCCCTGGCCCCACCATGGACTCCTATTCTGATCATTACAAACACAGCTCTATCTTCTCTCTGGCACCTTCCATCTCATTTTTAAGCATCCAATCTAATTCTCTCATTCCTTTCTTGAACTCCTGGTGAGGGAAAAGAGCATTTGAGCCTATTTTCTCACGTTCTATTCCTTTCCCCTGAGCGAGAGCTGGAAGGACCGGCTTCTGAGATCTGTTGACAAGTTTGCGTGCTGAAGCACAGTGGCTGCTCCTCCTGCCTCAGTCTCCCGACCTTTGCCCTCGGGCTCCAGTTCAGGGGGCATAATGAGCATTAAGAAGGAAAGAGAACCAAAGAGACTTCAACTCTCTACCTCCTCCTGTTCCATCCTCGCCCCTGTGCCCATTCAATCCTCCAAATCCCAATCCTTCCTCCTCCGCAGCCTACCTGCCCAGCAGCGGTGCCCACCAGTCCCCCCGCTGGTCTGAGGTCTCCCTTGGCCCCAGCCCTGCGACAAGACTTCGGAAGGCAGCCTCCCAGGCGCGCGCCCTAGCCACCCCCTCTCCTCGGGCAGAACCGGCGGCTGGAGTGCTGTCTAATAATACCTTGTGCCCTCACCAAGTTGCTGCTTGCCTGGGACGGTGGGGCTCTGCGCGAACCGGCATCCTAGGCATGACGGACTCCATTCTGGGCATGGAGGAGCTCCGAGCCTGACCTGCTTGGCTTTGCAAAATTCCGCCGGCTTTTCTCCGAGACCCCGCCGCCAGGCTGGGGAGCGCGCAGCCGCCGCCGCTACAGCCTCCTGGCTGAGGACGTTCCTTCCCCAGCCTGGTGCTGGCACCGCTGCCTCCTCCGGGACCGCGGGGAGCGAGCGCTTCGCAGAGCGCAGAGCGCTCGGACGGCCACCTGCACAGCCGGTGCAGCGGCCCCTGGCGACTGAGCGCACCAAGAGGAACGGGAGACGGGAGATCGCGGGGCCCTCCGGAGGTCCTGTTTGAAAGGCGAGCTCACCTTGTGCAGTAGCACTTCCAGACCGCTCCCTCAAAGGCCAGTGGCTCAGGGAAAAGGGATAGAGGATGAGAGGACATAAACTCAGCTTTTGAGCCTTGGTGATTCTAGAACTGCGCTGTCCAATTAGGTAGCCACATGTGAAGCTTGAATTGAAAGTCATTAAAATTAAATACAATTAATTATTCAGTTCCTGGGTTGTACTAACCACATTTAAAGTGCCAAGCGGCTACCTTGTAGCTAATGGTTACTGTCTTGAACAGGATAAATATAATTTTCATCAAGCCATTCTACTGCACATTCCAGACTGATGTTCCTTTAGTCTTTGCTGTTAACATTCTGAAATTCTGATCTCAAGAAACACAACCTTTGGGTAAGTAGTGTAACTTCTTAGAGACTATACCACTATTTCGTGATAGATGGAGAAAAGATTGAAATGATCAATGATTTCATCTTACTTGGACCCACAATCAACATTCTTGGTACTAGCAGGCTAGAGACTGGGGCACTTGTTGGGAAAGTCTGCAGGCAGGGACCTCTTCAAATTACTGAGGAGTAATGATGTCAGTTTAAAGACTAAGGTGCATCTGATGCAGGCCATGGTCTTCTCAATAACCTGCTATGCATCAGAAAGCTGGACAATGACTAAGGATGACAGAAGAAGGATTGGTGGCTTTGAACTGTGGTGTTGGAGAAAGAGTTTCAAACAGTTGGAGAAACTGTTTCAAACAGTTATTGTTGTTGTTGTTGTGTGCCATCGAGTCACTTGTGACTCATAGTGACCCTATGTACAACAGCCCTAAACTCTGCTCTATCCTGTGCCAACCTGATTGTCTCTGACACACCCACACCCACCACCCAGTGACTGAATCACTCCATCTCGTTAAGGGTTTCTTGTGCTGTCCCTCCATCCTCCCAAGCACAATGTCTCTCTCCAAGGACTGGTCTCTTCTTGCAACATGTCCAAAATATGTCAGATGAAGCTTCAGAATCCTTGCCTTCAAGGACAGCCTGGTTTAACCCTCTCCAGGATGAACGTGTTCATTTCTTAGCAGTCCATGGTATATTCAATACTCTTCTCCAGCACCTCAGCTTAAAAGCATCAATTCTCCTTCTATCCTCCCTAGTCATTGTCCAGCTTTCTAACACATAGCAAGTAACTGCAGACTATGGCCTGGATCAGGCACACCTTAGTCTCCAGACTGATATTGTTGCTCATAAGTACTCTGGAGCGGTCCCTAACAGCAAGAACAAAAAGCTATGTCTTTGATAAAATACAGAGAGCATGTTCCTTGGCGGCAAAAATGATAGCACTTTGTCTCAAATACTTTGTGTATGTTATTAGAAGAGGCTATTCTTTGGAAAGGGACAATATGCTTGGAAAGGTAGAGGGTCAGTGAAAGAGAGGAAGAAGCTGAGTGAAATGGACTGACACAAGTGCCTGCAGTAATGGTTCACGTATGTCAGAGATGATGAGGATGACAGGATAAGACAGAGCTCAGTTCTGTTGTTCATTGGGTCACTATAATCAGTTGTACTCAACTGGACAGCACCTAACAACAACAAGCATCACTAGAGCTCTAGAGGGATTAACGAATGATCTCTACCCATGAATGCTTGCCTTGGGACTAGGGGAGCCATCACAGGTATGAGGGTAGGGCAGGGGAGGCAGGACAGCTGAAAGAGGCTTGTGAGGTGGCCCCATGGTTTGGAGAAAGTAATGTGAATTCCAACTTAGAAACCAAACTCTGAGGTCCAATATCTTCACCAGAAAAATAGCAGTAATTTTACTTTTTTTTTTTAAGTAGTATATTTGATGGATGGTGAAGAGATTGAGATTGTTCACAGCTTTAGTTTGCTTGGCTCCACAGTCAGCACTCTAACCCAATGAACAACAGAACTGAGCTCTGTCTTAAGTCATCTCTGCTCCACCGCCTTCCCTGCTCCCGGGCGAACAGCCCCCTCCACCCCGTCATAATGGGGAAGTTCTAGCTGATGTCTAACCTAGAAATGCTGGAAAATAGTTCCCTTCTTTCCCATCAACAATAACTTCTTCCCCAAAGAAACTGAGGCGGAGCTTAACGCGAATGGGGCAGTGAGGAGGCCCCCAGCCAGCGGGGTGGGTCCCAGGGCGGCGGGAGGAGGAGGAAGTTTTGCAGAGACCTGTCCAGCCCGCGCGCAGCCAATGGTCAGGAGGGGCCGGCAGGCTTGAGCCCCGCCCTCCCCGAGCCCTAGGGGGCGGGCCCGCGGGGGCGTGGCCACGGCCGAGGGCGGGGCAGGGCGGCAGCATGCTAAACCGGGTTCGCTCGGCCGTGGCGCACCTGGTGAGCTCCGGGGGCGTCCCATCTCCGCGCCCCAAGTCCCCCGACCTACCCAACTCTACCTCGGCGCCGCCCGCTGCCTTCCCAGAAGCTCCCAGGAGTCCTCCGGTCAAGGCTGGGGTGTCCGCCACGACCACGGATGCTCGGGCGAGCTTCTCCAGACCGACCTTCCTGCAGCTGAGCCCTGGGGGGCTGCGACGCGCCGACGACCAAGCGGGCCGCGTGGTGCAGAGCCCCCCTGACACGGGCCGCCGCCTGCCCTGGAGCACGGGCTATGCCGAGTGAGCGCCCCTGGGGCCACCTGCACCTGGAGGAGACCCCCACTCTCTCCCCAGCTCGACATCCCTTGCGCTGCGATGCGTTCCCCCGACCCACGCCGCCTTTGGTGCCAGGAGCCCGCTTTCCCACGACCTTTGCTCTCCGCTGGGCTCCGAGCCCTCTTCCCCCTTCGCCTGTCCTGTCAAGTCGGATAGTTGCGGGGATCACCTTCCAGCCCATTGAGTACCCTCACCCGTGCCGTCAGGCTCCGCTTCCTCCCTGAGCGCAGAGGACAGAGGGCCTGGGGAAGGATGAGTTGGCCACTTTTCCATTGCGGCCCGGCAGTTTAGTGGTTAAGGAATGAGGGGTTTCTAGAAATAACGGGGGTCGCTTTTAACCGGGGAAGTGGCAGCTGGGAAGGTACTCCTCGGCTTCCCGGCCTCAGCGCCCCAGTTCCCTGTCCCTCTTACCGTTCCCCTCCCCCTCCACACCCAGAAATAGCCTGCAACACCCGGCAGCCGCCGCCTTCTCTGGGGGCGGGGGAGGGGGGCGCTCCGGACCATGGGCGAGGCCCTTTGGAGCCCCCCTCCGCCTACTAACTCCTCAGGTCCGGCAAGCAAGCGCCCACCGCACACCAACCGCAGCTGTAGCATGCTTTTGGGCAGTGTGTATTTTTAATCTATCTGCCGGGAAAACGGAGCTGGGAGGGAGCTGGGGGCGCTGAAGGAGGTGGCTGGCTGGTCCCCAGCCCCACCACACCGCCTCATTTAGCTTCCTATGTGGGAAGGTTGTGTAGCTTTCACACGGTTCAGGTGGGCTTCCACCCCCACACTGTTTCAGTTCCTCAGATCTGGGCGGGAGCGCTTTCCTGCCAAAGCTGCAGACGCTGGGCCTGGAAGGTTTAAGGACAGGAGTGGGTATGCCCCTATGGGTGCAGCAAGACGCTGAGCGCCCCTGTGAGCCCTGGAGGGCAAGGTATTAGAAGAGTTGACAGGGCTTGGGGTGTAGGATCTTAGCAAGCAGAGAAGTAGCACCTCGACTCGACCGCAAATCCATTTCCTCCAGTAGCAGTACCACCCGAGCAAACCCTTTGACAGAGATGGGGGAATTGAGGCAAGCCTTTCTATAAAGTGGGGCCTTCCAAGCAGACAGTACTCCTTGGGCCTTGTATTCCCTCCCTCCTCCTTCCTCTGGCCTGGATCCCAGGTGGCTGTGACCTTTCTTAGCTTGGCCAGCCAGCTAGAAAGGATGTGTGTGTCTAAGGTGGGAGTTATTCCAGGACCTGGTCTGGTGTCCAGCCTAACTGTAGTCACTCTGGCCTGGCAGGGTCATCAACGCTGGGAAGAGCCGGCACAATGAGGACCAGGCTTGCTGTGAGGTGGTGTATGTGGAAGGTCGGAGGAGTGTCTCAGGGGCCCCCAAGGAGTCCAGCACCAGCCAGGTAAGCCCTTACAGAAACCCTGCAGGGATTCCAGACTCTCCTTTTTAAATCCGAGGCATGTGGGAGACCATCTTCCTTACTCACTTTTGGCTTCATAACCTGATATGGGTCGGTTTGGTTCTACCATGGCAGTGTGAATGTTTAGTTTTCCATCTAAAAGTAGGTTTTTACATATTTATGTGGGCTGAGGGAGCTCTGGGAGGAAGCCGTATTATTAACCTAAAGGCAGAGCCTCTCTGGTTTGAATTCACCAGCTGCTATGTGGGAGAAAGATTAGCGTTCTCCTCCTGTGAGATTTAGGGCCTCGGAAAACCCACTGGAAAACCCACTGAAAACCCAACTATAGTCAGTTCTTGAGCATTATCCTCTCTTTTTTTTTTTTAATTTTTATTTTACTATTTTTGTGTGTGTGTGTGTAGTGTCAAATCAGATCCGACTAGTACAGGAGGAGATTGCCCCTCCTTCTCCAGCAGAACATCTGATGGATTTGAACCACGTACCTCTGGGATTGCAGTGTAGCTTCTTGCCATTAGGCCACCAGAGCTACCCAACTATGAGTCAGTTCTTAACAGCAATGAGAGCTGAATGTAATTGAATTAATTACAACTCAGATTTTTGCATCTTTTTATCTTTTGCTTTCTTTTTTCCTTGGTTAAATGAGTGAATAAATCGAATTTGCCTTCCAACCAAACTCTGGCCTCCTCTCTGATGATCTTCACCTTGCATAACACTCACACACATGCAAGAACACGCATACACACATAGTTATCACTCACTTTTCTTCCCTCAGGGACTCTGTTTCTACTACTGGGGCCTATTTGATGGGCATGCAGGGGGTGGCGCTGCTGAGATGGCCTCCCGGCTCCTGCATCGCCACATCCGAGAGAAGCTAAAAGACCTGGTGGAGATACTGCAGGACCCCTCTCCACCTCCACTCTGCCTCTCTTCCTCTCCGGGGGCCTCTGATCCCTCTCACATGGTTGGTCCTCAGTCCTACTGGTCTTCCCAAAAGGAAGTGACCCATGAGAGTCTGGTAGTGGGGGCCATTGAGAATGCCTTCCGGCTCATGGTAAGTAGGCGTCTGGGGCAAGGACTTGCTCGGCAGAGACATTTGGGCCAACTCTGTGTGGGAGTCATGTGCACTCAGGGAGTGAGCCAGAAACCCCACAGAACCTTGGAGAGCCTGAGCAGTGTGGTTCAGGGCGGCGGGAGAAGGCAGTGGTACACCCATGTCCTCCTTCCTCTCTCCACCAGAGTGGTTTGGTTGGGCCAGTGTCTGCAGATTGAGAGGGTGACTACATGCTTGGAATCTCTTCTCCATTCACCCCTGTGACCCTTCCTCACATGGCAGGATGAACAGATGGCCCAGGAGCGGCATGGCCATCAAGTGGAGGGGGGCTGCTGTGCACTGGTTGTGATCTACCTGCTAGGGAAGGTGTATGTGGCCAACGCAGGTGACAGCAGGTATGGTGTTAGGGTGCTCCTGAAAGCAGCTACAGGGGCCACAGTCTCTGGGATGGCAGAATAGAAGAGAGTGAGGTGGCAGGTGAAAAGCAATCAAAGGTTAGAATTAAGAGGGATCATAAACCTAAGGAAGAGACTGAAAAAGCCATGAAGCGAGGAAAGATGGGAGGTCAGGGTGAGGGATCCTAAATCTCATTACGGTCAGGGCCTGGTCTTCCTGGAATTCTCCATGAGGGGACTGGGGAGAGCCAAGGTCAAGCCTTTTCCTGTGCCCTTGGGTGGCAGGTGGAACCTTACATGGGCCTTTTCTTTGTGTGGACAGGGCTATCATTGTCCGGAATGGTGAAATCATTCCAATGTCCCGGGAGTTTACTCCAGAGACTGAACGTCGACGTCTTCAGCTGCTTGTAAGTAGGAATTAAACTCCCTGCTCCCATTCATTATTGGGCCTTGTGCCTCTCTATACCCTGTACCTCCAAGAACTCTCTCACACACACTACTTAGAAAGCTTTCACTGTTTAATGTGAAGGCTGCTTCACACTGTGGAGTGCAGGGTTAAGCTGGGCGAATGATGCAGCAGGAAGGAGTTTGGGCTGGTCCAGGGCTCCCTCAGGGGTTCAGCTAAGGAAGGAAGTAGAGTCAGAGGTGGGGAGAGGAAATAGCAAAAAGGGCCTCCTCATAGGCAATATGGGCTGTTGCTGAAAAACACGGGCTCTGGAGTTGGACTTCCTGGGGCCAAAACCTGGTTCAAATACTTTGTTTTTTACTTGTGTGAACTTTCAACAACTCCCTTAACCTGTGTGTGCATAGTTCCTGCATTAAGGGTAGTTGTGAGGATTAAAAGAATCAATATATGTCAGTAATAGACCCATGTCCTAGGACAAGGTAAACGCGAAGGGTTTGTTATTATTAACCTCATCTGTACAGCAGAGTGTGCTGTAAGCCTCATGCTGCAGGCCTTTTACACTGTCTGCTCCCAAACCCAGGGCTTCCTGAAACCAGAGCTGCTGGGCAGTGAATTTACCCACCTTGAGTTCCCCCGCAGAATTCAGCCCAAGGAGCTGGGGCAGAGGATGCTGTACCGGGACCAGAACATGACTGGCTGGTAACAATTCCTTCAGAGCTGGGGCCTTTTCCATTAACAAGGTGGCAGCTGAAGACTGGGCTTAGCTGGGTGTTGTGGGGGATGTGGCCCCTCTTCAGGGTGTGTGTGAGGGGGAGTGGCTCCTGGGGAAGAAGGACTGATAGCTGGGTGATGCGTCCTCTACTCCCCCCTCCCAGGGCCTACAAAAAGATCGAGCTGGAGGATCTCAGGTTTCCTCTGGTCTGTGGGGAGGGAAAAAAGGTAAACTCCCAGGGCAGAGGTGGGAGAGGGCAGGAGGACCCACCATGACTTGTCTAAAGAGGTGCAGGTTCTACCTGAGGGCAAGGTGGGGAGGAGTCCAGAGCTTCCGTGTCCAGGAGAGGGTTACAGCAGCAACCCCTTCTCATTCCCTTCAGGCTCGAGTGATGGCCACCATTGGGGTGACCCGGGGCTTAGGAGACCACAACCTCAAGGTCTGCAGTTCTACCCTACCCATCAAGCCTTTCCTTTCCTGCTTCCCTGAGGTGAGCTGTATGGGGACACTGTGACCACACTCTCCTCCCTCTGGAAGTCTAGGGCAGGCTTTCATCCACACTCTTTATCCCAGACTCCTTGTCCTTCAAACCCCACGCCTTAGTTCTCTTTCCCACCCCCCTTTCCCCTCCAGGTGCAAGTGTATGACCTGACGCAATATGAGCACTGCCCAGATGATGTGCTGGTCCTGGGGACAGATGGACTTTGGGATGTCACCAGTGACCATGATGTAGCTGCCACTGTGGACAGGGTGCTATCTGCCTATGAGCCCAACGATTCTAGCAGGTAGGGGCTTTGTGGCTGAGTGGCATGGGGCAGGAAGGTGGGCAGAGGGAAGCAATACTTGGGTGTTCACATGTGGGCCTGGGTGGCTGTCTTCCCATGCACATGTCAGTATATGAATAGATACATGTACTCCTGGCAGGTACACAGCTCTGGCCCAAGCTCTGGTGCTGGGGGCCCGCGGTACCCCCCGGGACCGTGGCTGGCGTCTCCCCAACAACAAGCTGGGTTCTGGGGATGACATCTCGGTCTTCGTCATTCCCCTGGGAGGACCAGGCAGTTACTCCTGAGGGGCTCAGCCCCATTCTTCCCTCCAGCCTCTCCTTGCTAACCCCCTTTCCAACCACATTCGGAAGTTGTCTCCTTGACCTTAGTGATGACTTAATTGAGGAAGGGGTGTCAGCTTGACCCAGAGTTGGAAAATAAACCAGATGGCTAAAGTTGTCTGTCTTTGTTTACTTTAACTAGAAATGTATAGAAAAGCTTTGTGGGGTGATAGACAAACCACCCGAACAGGCCTGAAAATGCACTATCCCCAGGTTCTTTCCTCAGGGTAAGGCTCCACGTGCCTGCAACTGATGTTATCTCCTCAAGATCATGTTATTTCTCTTTTTTCATCTGTTCAAGGTAGAAAATTTGGACGTGGTCATTCTTGGCTTCTATTATTTTCCTCATCAGGATAATTAATGGGGGTAATGGGAGTAGGTGTGTCAGAGACAATGAAATTGGTTCAGGTTAACAGAGCAGGGTTCAGAGGTCTTGTACACAGGGTGACTATGAGTCACTGGCAACTCAACAGCACACAACGACGACAACAACAACAACAAATGAGGGAATTGTGTTTGCCTATTGGGTAAGGAGTTACACTGCCTGCTCTGAGAAAAATGAGCAATCTCCTCTTTTATGATTTACAGCCTCTGAAGATACAATGATACTATGAGTTTGGTTTTGAATTAGTGACAATGATATCAATCATATGCTTTTAAATATATTTCATATTTATCCATATACCTCCAACCTCACCTCAGTCATCGCCTAACTCTTTATTATCCCTACCTCCTAACTTATGTCTTTCTCCTGCCTCTCCCCCTGCCTCCCCCATAAGTACACCGAGAACATAGCAGCCATGGTGATTTTTCCACAGTGTGAATCTGAGTTGGTTATTTTCCTGAGAGAACACTTTATTACAATTAGAACAAAATCCATACTCAACTCCTAAACATAGTACACAAGGCCTTTCACAATCTGACCACAGTTACTTATCCATCCTTATCTTTCACCAAAACAAACAAACCTCCTCCCTCCTTATTGGCTATAAATCCATTCTAACAGCAGCCTCATGTATTACAGAGTAGAAATGCTCTGTATGCTCTTCTTGGCTGTCATCTCCAGGCCTATGTTTTGCAATGCCAACAGTTTTTGCCACCCAAGGCCTGCCCTCAAATTCCACCCTTCTGGGGTTCACTATAAAGGGCCTCTGATGGCATAGTCTTGTACAGCTAACCCAAAGGCCAACTGTCTCCAGTGGTTTCAACCCATCAGTAGCTCTGCAGAAGAAAGATGGGAAGGCTTCTGTTAAGTTTTCCAACCTAAGAAATCTGATGGAGGGTCACTGTGAGTCAGAACCAAAAGGATGGGTTTTGAGTTTGAGGAGTTCATGAGTCCAAAAGTAAAAAGTAGTAGTTTTTGTTACTGTTGTTTCCCATAACTCTGGGCTTATTGTAGCTCCTACATAACACCTTATCTTGGACATTTCTCTGGCCTTTCTCCGCTGAGCATTACATGCCTGTGCATGACCCTACGACCTCACTGCCTTATTACTGTCTCCACCACATGTTAGTAGGGAGCATCAATTAACAGCAGGGACTCTAGGGCTCACTGGAAGCTCTAGGGACATGGTCTGCAATGAGTTGTGCTGCTAACCCAAAAGAGGGGCATCTATGGTAGTTTGACTCTACAAGCAGCTCTGTGAGGGGAAAAGGTAATCTCTCCTTGTGAGAGACCAGGCCTCAAAAGCCTGATGGAGATGCAAGTTGACAGGTGGTGTGTTGGTTCCTCCCCATAGTCTAGAGTCCAGCTGTTTGAGTTTTGCTGCCAGACTCAAATACTTGGTTCATAATTTCTATGAGCTTCAACTTACTTCCCGGTAACATGGGAATGCCATATTGAAGGCTGTAGTCTGATCTTCTGTATCAAGCTCTTCAGGTCCTCCTCACTTTTAGCAAGTAAGGTTATATCTTCAATATGGATTACATCTCAACATCAAGAAAACAAAAGTCTCACCACTGGACCAAAAGGTAGCATCATGATAGCTACGCATTTGAGAGCTAGACAATGACTAAAGATGTAAAGATGACAGGAGAATTAATGCCTTTGAATTGTGGTGTTAGAGAAGATTCAGACTTTGGAGACGTCAAGGCTGGGAAAAACTATCCCACGGACTGCCAAAAGAACAAATAGATGTGTCTTGGGGAAAGTGCAACCAGACTGCTCCTTGGAGGCAAAGATGACAAAGCTTCATCTCACATACTTTGGGGACGTTAGGAGGGGCTGTTTGTTCTTTGGAGAGGGACGCCTCGCTTAAGATTGAGGGTGGTAAAAGAGAGGAAGACCCTCAAACAGATGAATTGACACAGTTCAGATCTGTTGGTCACAGGGCCGCTGTGAATTGTACTGAACTCCACAGCACCTAACAACAAACTAGGGGAAAAGATACCTGTTGGACATTGGTTTAACAAAAATGCTCTTTTTTTCATTGTCTCGATGCAACACGTTGAGTGTTATTTGAGGGCAGAGATTGATCCTTGGCAAATAGCTCTCAGTTCATGCTCAATAAATGTTTGGATGAGTTAAGTGGCCTGGGGACCCAAACAATTCTAAGGCGTCAGTTTCTTCATTTACTAAATGTGTGGGTTGCACTTCACGTCTTCAAAGTATAGATTGTTCTAACATTCAATTTGTTGCAACCCCCCCCATGATACATCTTCAAGGATATGAACATGTACGGCTAAGCACAATTAATAACAGAGCATCTAAATTCCAAAATCAATCTCCATAATAGTCTATGTGTTTCCCACTGCCAAAGGGGCCCTTTAGAGTAGTGAGAGAAGATCTTCACCCTGAAACCCACAGCGTCCCTTTTCAGCAGGAAGTAGCTAAGAGAATGCACCATCCCCTTTTCCTTATGAATCAGGGTGAAGTCTCTCTCAGGGAGGAGTGATAGGGAATGGCAAAGGACACACTGACAAAGGAGATTAATCAGAACTGACTTTGACAAGCACTGTGGCAATTGGACAATTAAAACAGACATTCGGATGGCGGGGAAGAAGAACAAACTGGGGAGGAGGGAAGAGAGAATGGTGCAGCAATGAAGGAATGAAAACCCAAAATCCCTGTAAATGTTCATTAAAACTAATAAAATTTAATAATTTAAAAAAAAATTTGTTGCAAACCAAATATTTGCCCAACACTGGGTTAGGTAATGAGGAAGGGACAGTTTTGAGAAGTGACAGAGGCAGCATGAATACAGCACCCTTTAACGGGAAACTCATGAACATTCCAGTTAGGAAGAATGAAGGAAAATTGTGAGGGGGCGAGGTGTTGAAAGGTCAAGGCTGAGGACAAGATTCTAGGTGCAGGCCTTGGGCGCCTAAGGGCCTCCGATCTATCTCGGCGACCCGGGACCGCTTTTCCCGCCCGCGTCTCCCACGAGCTCCGCGGCAGGGCAGGAGCGCGGAGCGGCTTGGCCACGAGAGGGCAGCCGCGGTCCTTCCGGACCCCACCCCGAGCGCCTCTCAACTTTCCCGACGCGAGTCCAACCCCAGGGCTTGAGAGGCCGGGCTGAGGCTGGGTCTCAGGGGTGGGGAGAGAGGGGGTGCCCCGCTCTGCGGTGGCCAAAGTCCTGAGACTCTCCTCCTACCGAGGAGGCCGAGCCCGCAGCCGGGACCAGAGACCAGAGGCGGGCGAAACCCGCGGGGACGCAGGCGGGCGGAGTGAGGGGCTGCCCGGGCCGCCACGCCCCCACGGCCCGCCCTCCCCGCGGACCCGCCCCTCCCCTTCCGTCCTCCCCTCCCCTCCCCTCGCGGCGCAGGCGGAGGGCGAGACGAGGCCCCTTGGGTCAGTCTGCCTCAGGCCGCAGCCGCGCAGCTGGAGGCGGCGGAGCGGAAGGTACGCGGGCCGGGGGTTGGGGGCGGCGCGCGTCCTGGAACTCACGGCCGGGAGAGCACTTTCGTCCTCCGCGCGGGCGGAGCTCGTGCGCCCCCCGGGGAAGCGGCTTCGGGCGCGGCGTGCGGGCTGTGTGGGGCCCCGGCGCATCGGCACTTCCCCGGGCTGTAGCGAGGGGTCTCCGGGAACTGCCGGTCTGAGCCAAAGCCCAGCCCTTCCCTCCCGGCTTCCCGGAACCTATCCTCGCCGGGCGAAGGGCCGGGAGGCGACTCGGGTCTCGGCGAGAACTCTCCGGCTCGACTCTGTCTCGCTCCTGGGCCTGGCGATCGAGGTGGACCTGGGTGGGATGTGGCGGGGGTCCGGGTGGGGTTGTCAATGTCGGGATGGCGGGAAGAGGGCCGGGTTGTGACCGGTTGGGGGCTGATGCCGCTTGTCTGGTTCTGGCCGCCGGCGAGGCCGGTTCGTGGACCCTGCCTGGGACGTGGGGAGGGGGCTTAGGGAAGAACCCGGCACCTTCCTTTTTGCAAAAGAATCTGCCCCCTCACACTCCCGACCTAGGATTATCCTGGAGGCTTGGATTTAGACACCCGAGGCTCAATCCTGCCATCACGTCTGCTTTTATTAAAGTTGTGACGGTGTGGCTCCAGAGCGCGGAATTCAGACCCCAGGAGAGTCTCTAGATTATCTGGGAAATCAAGAGAATGACTGAGGCTCGGTGTGTGTATCCACTATGTCTTTTCCCAGGGAAGGCCCCAGCCTCTATTCCAGCTCCTGTATGGGGTGCGGTTGCCCCTCTTGGGGTCAGTGGGTTATTTCCTCCCAGCTGCCTCTCGTAGGGCGCTGTTGTCCCTTCCCTCCTGGCCTGAGGTCTAGTGACCTGGTTTGCTGTAGGCCGAGCGGCAGGCTGTTCTTCTGGCCCTGCCAGACCCTGGGGGAATCTTCATATTGAGTCAGGAAGGAGCTCCAGGTCACTTAATGCCCAGTGGGGTTCCAGCATCAGCTTTGCTGGTGTCCCCTGAACTGCTCTGCTGGGGAGGAACCACACTGCCTACACCAGCTCACCTTCACACAGCTGGACCAGTTGAACTAGTGGGTGTGTATAAAGTGGAAGAAACCCCTCAGGGAAACCCCTTTTTGGAGGTTTCCACTTGGGAAGACTCGGTAGGACGAAAGTCTTATTGCCTGTTTTGGGGGTATCTGGGAGGGGAGAACCCGTTTTGTGTGGAGTGTAGCTGTGTAAGCTCAACCTCATAAATCCCCTCTTGACTCCCATCCACGTCTCATCCCAGATTTTTGTGAATGTGTGTGAAGAGGGAGGCGCCATCCTGATCCCCCGTTGTTGAGTCGAGCCAGGCAGGGGCTGCTGTATTGGCTTCCTAAAGGGCAGACGCAGGCACGGGTGTGAAGTATGTGGGGAGCAGAAGTTCAGCTCAGTTTGACAGGATGTGGGGCTGCGAGAAAAAGCCAGGTTTGGGGCAGAGATCAGGTTACGGACTCCTTTCTGAACTGTTCCCTGCCTGCTCTGTGCTGGGCTCGTGTTCATTTGTCTCTTCTTTTGGGGCCCCTCCCAGCTGAGCTCCCTCCCCCTTTCCAACATCTTTGACTTCCTCTGAGCCCACCCCTTTTATCTCCCAGGCATTGGAACTTCTCTCCTTGGGAAGGAGGAAATGAATCTCGGCTCAGGGACTGGGGGCTGGGGTGAACAGTGCAGATGCAGCTTCATGGTTGTGGGGGCAGGGGACACACAGAATCCCCTGGAAGATGACTCCTTACCCTGAGTCACAGGGAGGGGTGGGCAGGGCGCCCTTCGGGTGAGCTGGACAAAGAGGAGGAAGGGGCTGTTCCAAGGCGTGGGTGGAGGTGATTCCCTAGTGGATTATTCTCAGTTGCTCTGCTGTGGTGGATGTGTGTGTCTCCCTACAGTATGGTCATTGTCCCCTGCCTGGGGCTGAGTGACCCGGTGTCGCTGCCAAGCCTGGGAGGGAGGCAGACTGCCCAAGTGTGGGCTGTGGACACTGACAGGACTGAGCCTCCTTTGTGTGCCTCTCGGCTTGAGGACTGGGCCAGGGTGGGCAAGGGAAGCTGGTTAACTGCTGCCACTGCCCTCTGTCAGGGTTCCCCTGCTTCTGCTTGTGGAGTAATATGTCCAGAAGGCACAGACGGTGTGACACTGGAGTCACCCAGCTATGCTCTGAACATGGCTTGACCCCACTGAGCCTCAGTTTCCTAGGAACAAATTTTTGTCAAAATACCCAACGTTGTGCCTGGTACCTGACACTGGATAAATACCTTTTTCTGTACATGTTACCTGATGGCCAGCTTGCCAGTTGGAGGTCTTGGACTCCTGGTCAGTGATTAGGCAGGCATGGTTCAGACTGAGTCTCTTCTAGTTTGGACCTTAACCCCAAAGCAAACCTTCTGCTGGACAGCAGATACACTGTAAAGGCCATCTTGTCAGCTTTCTTACCAAGGATTGCCTACTAGGTTCCAAACTACCAACCTTACACAGGCAGCCTGACACATTAAGCAGTCCACCTCCCAGGGTCCTAGTTTGGACCTCAGTGAATATTAAAGTGTTGAAATCTTAGTAACTAATGAGGCCCGAAACCCTGATATGTAAAAGGGATAAAAGTTGGCTCCTCTTGACTTAGTCCTCATCTCTGACCACCTTCCCAGCTGTCTGGGTCCCACCCAGTTAATGAGGGTGAGTGGATTAGAGCAGAACTCATGTTTTTGGTCCCCAAGAGGGTGCTTCTGAGCTCTTACTTATGGAGCTCCCAGTGGGGGAGGGAGAGGCACGCGGAAAAACACACACACGAATGGGACAAGAGAGGAAGAGGAGAACTTGGTCCCGACTTTAGGAATTTCAAGCTCTGTTGCCTAAATTGATTGGTCCTGTCAAGAACATGTTTGAGCAAGTCCTTCCAGCTTTCCCTCCCTTTGTGGGATGCCTGCTTCCAGAGCATTCTCAGGGGCCCCAGAGAAGTGTTTCTGGAATGGTTGGCTTTTACCAAAATCCCCCACTGCTTCTTTCCTGCCAGTCCTAGCCATGGCTGCAATCCGGAAGAAGCTGGTGATTGTAGGGGATGGCGCCTGTGGGAAGACCTGCCTCCTCATCGTTTTCAGCAAGGATCAGTTCCCCGAGGTCTACGTCCCAACCGTCTTTGAAAACTACATTGCTGACATCGAGGTGGATGGCAAGCAGGTGAAGGCCCCGTTCCATTCCACCTTGGCAATGTCCCCCACAGGCCTAACTGGGTCCTGCTCCACCACCCACACACTTCCTTTCTCCCTTCTTCCTGCCAGAACTGTAAAAGTTAGTGAAACTGGGATCTTGGAAAAGCTGGACACACTCCTGAGTCTACCACATACTTGCTCTGTGTCTGGGCCAAGATCCTTCATCTCTAGGTTTACACGTCCCCAAATGCAAAATGAGAGTGGTGATAAGAGGGCTGTAAAGAAAGATTTGGTGAAATCATGGTATTGACAACTCGCATTGCTGCTTGATCTCTGCACCAAGGTTAACCACAGATGACTTAGGATTTTAGACCAACTCACCTAGTTTATGTTATGTGGCAGCGGCCCAGGATCTAGGAGGTCCAGGGCTCACTGGTTTTGGAGAGGGCCTGTAGGTAGCATGGTTATGGTGTCTCTGTCTCAGGTGGAGCTGGCTCTGTGGGACACAGCAGGGCAGGAAGACTATGATCGCCTGCGGCCTCTCTCCTACCCAGACACTGATGTCATCCTCATGTGCTTCTCCATCGACAGCCCCGACAGCCTAGGTGAGGTGGAGGCGAGATGGGTTGGGGGTATGGGATTGAAATTACAAGAGAGGGTGTTTATCTGTTCAGAAGCTACATCAGGGACAGGGGTGCAGGGGGCTCATTAGCCGCTCACAGGGCTAATTCCAGCCCTTGAATGGCTTAGGGGAGGGTTGTAGTGAGGGTGAAGGAGCTATGAAAGGGACTTTCATGTGACTAGATTGCTGTGCCCCAGAATGTGCTTTCTGGCCAAGTGATGCTACATGACACTTCGAACTTGTCCTCACAGAAAACATTCCTGAGAAGTGGACCCCAGAGGTGAAGCACTTCTGCCCCAATGTACCTATTATCCTAGTGGGGAACAAGAAGGACCTGCGGCAGGATGAGCACACCAGGCGAGAGCTGGCCAAGATGAAGCAGGTGGGTGGGCTGCCGAGCCAGGGGCTCTTGGGGAGGACAGCACAGCTCAGCACTACCTCAAGTATCGTGGGTTTGGTTCCACACTACCTCAAAAAAGTGATTAGCTCAGTAAAGTAAGTCACACAACCTTCCTGGTGTCCCAATGCATAGGAAAATTAGGTTTATACCATACTGTAGTCTTTTAAGGAGTCCTGGAAGTGTGTAGTGCTTACAAAGTTTTACTGCTAATCAAAAGGTCTACAGTTTAGTCTCACTAGTCACTTGGAAAGGAGGAAGACAGAGCAGCCTGCTTCTGTGAAAAGGAGCAACCTTGAAAACTCCACGAACAGTTCTGCTGTCTTATAGGGCTGTTACAACTTGATGGCAGGGGAGCGGGTAGTCTATTAAATATGCTGACCTCCAGCAGGTTTTCAAAGTTTGTAAATCGCACCAGGAGAGTATCTTTCCTCCCATGGAGCAGCTAGTGATTTTGAACTACCTGTTTTTGGGTTGACAATGCAACTCTTTAATCATGGTAAGAGTTTGAAATACAGACAGAATGACTAAAATGTGACGGAGACACAAAGCAAGCACATACTCTTAGAAATTAGAAAAATGGTACCAGTAGACTTACTTGACACATTGTTGCCACCAGCCTTCAATTTGCTTTCTAAAAAATGTGAAAGAACCCAGTTTTCTGTGAAACACAATAAAATGAGGTATGCCTGTACCCTTTGGAGGACTGCAGATGTGGGGATAGACAGTGTTAGTCTTCTCGCAGACTGCCCTGTGCAGGAGGCACCTAACCCCTAAATATCTGCTCGCTGGTGAGGCAGAGATGGAAGTAGCCTCAGCACCTGAGCCAATTTCTGATGGAACTGGCAGAGAATGAAGTGACCTGTCCAAGGTCACCTGGCATGTTCATTTATGCCAGCTTGCCCTTTCTGTCCCTGGGAATGGAGGCTGTTAAGATGAGTAAGAAAATCTACCCCTAGAGAAATGGCCTCTTAAAAATAGCTATTTCACTTGGGGTGTAGAGGTGGTACCATGTTGAGAACACCTAGGGCAAGAGCAGTTATATGTGTGGACAGTAGGCCCAGAAGGGTGCGGGAACTAGATTGCCAATAGTGCTCCATAATTAGAATAGTCTGTTGGGGAAAGCTCCTGGTACATAATGTGGCCTATCGTGTAAGGATAATTACGGCAAGGATTTAAACTGGTCAGCTCTGCATGTCAGAAAACTTCTACTGGCAGCCAGGATGGTTTGGAGGAAAGTGAAAATGGAGGCAGAGTAGTCAGTTAAGAGGTGGGCGCCCATTCAGGCAGGAGAGGTGCAGGGTGGAGGGAACTGACAAGAGAACCTTGAATGCAAATGTTTGTCTTCCCAGGAGCCTGTTCGATCTGAGGAAGGCCGGGATATGGCGAATCGCATTAGTGCCTTTGGCTACCTCGAGTGCTCAGCCAAGACTAAAGAGGGAGTCCGGGAAGTATTTGAGATGGCCACTCGTGCAGGCCTCCAGGTCCGCAAGAACAAGCGCCGAAAGGGCTGTCCTATCTTCTGAGACCCCTCCCGATTCCCCCCTACCTGCTTCCCTCCCAGGAGTGTAGACACTTCTCCAGCTCTATCCTCCTAGGCGGCAGCTATATCTTCAGAGCTAGTCCCGTGAGTCCCTCCTAGGACTGAAGGTGCCCTCTTCTAGTTCCCTCAGCCCAGGACTGCACTGAGTGTCCCCAGCCCCAGTGGTGGTTGTGGGCTCTTCTCAGCCCCCTGGGAACCTCCGCTGTGCTCTGCCCTTCCAGAGTCCCTGCAGCTATGGGGGTGAGGCCTGGAGGATCTGTCACACACCAGCACTTTATAAACTTCCTGCTCATAGGAGAGTGTCAGGGGCAAAGGACTTTGAGGATGTGACCAGAGTCCTAGCTCCAGATTATCTTGCTTTGAGCAGGGGCCTTGTCTCCGACTGTACTCTGTGGAGGGGCGTGAATAAAGGTCATAGGCTCTAACATGTGTGTGGCAGCTTCCTGTCTTTCTTTCCAGATCCCTGTCTTGACTGTCAACTTAAGAGTTCCATCTCTTTCAAGTTGCCTGCCAGGTTGGCTGGCCTGTGTATAAAAGCAAGACTCAGAGCAGGCTCTGGGGCCGCAGGGTGGAGACTTGGGAATAAAGATGAGGTCATACCTGGCTCTGAGCCTAAGAGGCGGAGAAACGGAATGTCTATGGTCTCTGTGTAGCTCTGGCTAAACTTAGCAACCCGTGGGTGGCTTCCCTGCCACCTCCCACTGGGTTTCCTCCCCTGCTCTTGCTGGGAGGGGGTGTGGCCCTGGACATGGTGAGTCCCACCCACCCACTAGGTCAATGTGGTTGTACTCAGGAAGCTGGGGCCCAGCTGAGGAGACATGAGGCTCGTGCATAGAACAAGATTTTTTGTTTTCAGAGGTTTTCTTATTCTCCTTCCCCCAATTGTTAGCAGCTTGATGTGTCATTCTCCCCAACAAGGGAGGGGGTAAATGGCTTAGGTTGTAAACTCCCTCCCCCAGCCTCTTGTACATGGAGGGCAACTCAGCTGGGTTCCTGTTCAGGCAGGGTTCTGGTTGTGGGTCACACATTTAAGGCATGCCTGGTGTACTAAGGCCGGCGGCTGTATCTTCAGAGCTCGTCCCTCCAGGCTGGCTCCACTTGCAGGGCTAGGCCCCCTTCACCCTCCCGTTCTGGGCAGAAGCAGTCTTGAGAGTGAGGCTCTAGAAAGAAAGGAGATGGGGGAACTTGTCTTCCTTACCTACTCTTCCAGCCCTGGCCCCTACCTGGCCGACTCCTACCTGAGGTAGAGATGCTGAGCTTGCTGAGGCCTTTGAGCAAGTTCTGTCCCTCCTGTAGGTCCAGCTTGGCAGGGAAGGGGCAACCAGTATAGCCCCCATTCTGCTTACAGAACTCCAGGAATCTGTGGAGTACAGGGATATGACTCTTAAATTCTGACACCCACACACTCCCATATACCCATAGCCTGGGGGTGGCAGTTACTCGCAAAGGCTAGAGGCTGAATCTTAGTCCTGCCCTCTAAGAGCTTTGCCATCTGGGCAAGTTGCTTCTCTACTGCCTATTGACCCTACAGGGCACAGTGGAACTGCCCCATAGGGTCCTAGGCGGTAATCTCTCTGAAGTATAAGCTAATTTACAAATAAGATGAGAGTGTTGTGTAGATGAATGGAAATGAGAGTGACGTGCTTGGTAAGATCTGCCCTAGGGTGGGGGTCGTGACCATGAGAGCACTTGGTGGATGGGAATGCTCACGTTTTCCAGTCGGGGTCATGGCCCAGGAGGAGGGGATTGCCCACTATAATGAGCAAAGCTTTGGCCCGGGTCACAGCCACATTGAACCTCTGGAAGGAAGAAATGTTCAGATCACAGATCACAGGAAGGAAAGGTCTCAAGGAAGGAAGAGATGCTGCCACCCCCCAGCCTTCCAACCTTGGGGTTCTTAAGGAAACCCAGGTTAAAGTCCAGATCCAGCTGCACAAAACTCTGGCTGCTCCGAACAGTGGAGATGAGGATGACACTGCGTTCTTGGCCCTGGAACTCTTCCACGGAGCCCACCTAGAGGAGGAAGCAGAGGCAATGCCTGAGACCAGGGTGCCAAAGGGCAGCCAGACCACAGCACTACTTCAGGAAGGCAGGACTCCACGGAGGCCACAGGTGAGCATCTGCAATGGGGGTAAGTGGAGTGAGTGCTGTTTCCCTGGCCAGGACAGCCAACCCAGCAGGGGCCAGGCAAAAAGGGAGGGTAAGCCTAGCTCAATGACCTGGAAAGAGAGTAAGGCAGAGAAATAGCTTTGCAAAAAAAAAAAAAAACAACCCTGATGCCTCAGAGCAATGTTACAGTTTTCAGGAGATAATCTCCAATGGCTTGTTAGAAATTTACAACCTGGGGGCCCAACCCAGACCTCCCAAATCAGAGTTTTCAAGGGAGAGGCCGCTGTATCTTCAAATAGTGGCTTTCAACTCTGGCTGCACATTAATTACCTGAGAAGCTCTAAAAAAAAAAAAATATTACACCAGTGCCCTGGCTCTGCCCCAGACAGCTGTTTTTAATTGGCTGGGTGAGGCCTTGGCACGCTGAGAGCTCTCCAGGTGATTCTTATCTGTAGTCAGGGCTGAGAAGCACCACTTTAATCACATTACCACCTGACCTGCAGGTGGGAGGGAAAAGGTAGAAAGGAGGCTGGAGGGACAAGAACAGAGGTGCCAGGCCTGGTGACCTGAGGGCTGAGACTTTCTCCTTTGGGCAGGCAGCAGCTTCAGACATGCCTGGTTGTAAGAATCACCTGAGGTGCTTGTTAAAAAATGTACCCCACATGGGGTACAAGTCGGGGTGTCCAGAAATAGTCGGACTGGAGCGGTAGGACAGAAGGTCTCTGGAAAGACTGGGGAAGTGAGGGGTCACAAAGAGCAGGAAACCAATGTGGGAGAGCGGGGAAAGTGCCACCTTCAAGTCCTTGATGTCATCCAGTCCCCGAAGCTCCTTGTCCAGGCGGGTGATGCAGTACCGGATTTTTTCCACCTGGGAGGAGGAGACAGGTGTCTTTTTCTGGAGGTCTGTGTTCCACCCCTTCCCCCTTGTGCAGGGGTGAGTGACTCCCTGTGTAGGTCTCGCTGGGCCAATGGGGTACTGAGCTGTAGGAGCCTGGCCTCAGTGGTCTGGTACTTAAAGAGGCCATCTGTGCAAAGGGGCAGAGTGTCCAGCCTGGTTGGGAACTGAGGGCCTGACCTGCTTGCGGTATGGGGAGATGACGCCCACGCTTCGGGGGCTCAGGCGGGCTTTGCCTTTCTTGGAGGAGGGGGCCAGGAGCTGCTTCAGGTAGGAAGTCACTGTGGCTGCTTCTTCAGGGTTGAAGAAGGACGGGCTATTGCCTTCACGCTCATCCTTGCCCATTACACCATGAAAGATGATGGGAAAGCCCTAGACATAGGGACCAGAAGAAACTCAGTCACACATCTCTGCTCTCCTTCGCTTTCACTCCCCAATCCTCCAAGGAAATCCAGAACCCCAGACTAAGGTACTAGGAAGGAGCTGAGCCCCTGCCCTGCTCAGCCGCACCTGGCGGGGCAGACCCTCCCATCGACAGAAGCGCTCTCGATCCATGACGTCAGCACAGGCCTGCAGCTCCCCTTCATAATACAGCTGGTTAGGAATGTCCAGGATGGTGGGATGAGACCTGAGAGGAAGCAGGAGGAGGGCAGAGCAAAACTGAGAGCCCGATACTTCTCCCTGCTCTACTGGCTCCAGGCCCACACACCTTCTCTCATGCTCCTGTGCAGTGAAGAGCAGGACACGTTTACCTATAATGTCTACTACGTGTTTCTTAAGAGCCAGGCACCGTGAAGCAGAGCCAAATGTGGTTCCCAGGAGCACCTCGCCTACTCCTTTCACGGACCGGACAAATTTAAAAAGCAAAACATGGGGACCCAATCTCAGGCTTCAATTTTGCTAGGGAAGGACATAAAAGAAAAACACACATCACGATCTTCTGCCGGCAAACTTAATGATATGCTGTCAAATGAAAAATAATGGACCAATACGATCTCTCATTGTCATCAAACTGGAACTCATTGCTGACTGTCCAGTAGGTTTTCAGAGGTTGTAAATCATATGGGAAGAGACTGCCAACTCTTCTGAGGAGCAGCTGGTAGATTCGAACTGCCATAGGGAGCTTTTTTGGGTTGGCAACACAAGTCCCTACAGACTATGCTACCAGAGCTTCCCCGTGATACAACTGCTACTAACAACTCCTGAGTGTACTGACTGCCCAGAACTCATCTAAGCATATTAGAGTATTAACTCATTACTAAAGAAATAACTCTGGTGAGAAGGTAAAATGTGCAACATGAATGAAAATGTAACTTCTCTGTAAATGTTTATTAAAGTCACAAACAAAATTTTATTTAAAAAAAAACCCCAAAGACTACCTCTAAGCATCAAGGAGATATTTTTTTAAAAAACTTACTAGGTTGTCCCTATTTTTTTCATGTCTCTGGATTTCCTGGAAACGTTATCTGGAACGAGTATCAGACACTTCCAAGTAGGTAGAAACCACTGACCATCTTCTAATATAAAAGCAGCAAACTGGTCCAGAGACAGAAGTTATTTGCTAAAGTCACACAGCCAATGATTAGCAGTGATTGCTGTTATTAGGTGCCATCGAGTCAGAACCAACCCATAGGTGACCCTCCAGTGGGTTTTCAGAGTAAGCAAATTGCATGGGAGGAGACTGTTCCTCATTCTTCCACAGAAGAAATGGTGGATTTGAACCATGTACCTTTGAGATTGTAATACAAGGCCTACTTTTCTATTTATAGCCTTTCTACATCACACATTTCAAGCCTGAGTGTGCGAAAGGTTTGTGATTGGCTGCTAACATACAGGTTGGCAGTTTGAACCTACCCTGTAGAGAGAGAAAGCGAGAGAGACATAGACACACACAACGCTTGGTGACCTGCTCTGTAAAGATCATAGGTTAGAAAACCCTATGAGGCAGCTCTATTTCGTCACACACGGGACTGTCATGAGTCAGAATCCATGGCAACGGGTTTGTTTCCTTTTGTTTGTTTGTTTCTGCGTGACACACCACTCAGCAATGCGATCCCAGCACTGAGCTTCAGGCTGGGCAGCAGAAGGGTGCAAAGGCAGCATGCAGGAGTACCTGTAGTTGCGTAGCAGCTTGGTTATGAACTGGGGGTTATAGCCACCGGAGCCCTTCTTGTACAGGTTATTATAGGTGAGCAGCCGCTCCAGCAGTGAGTGCCCCAGCCCGTGCTTCTGGGTCAGAGGGGAGCGCAGCACAGGCCCCAGCTGCCGAGGGTCTCCTGCCAGCACTAGCTGCCCTCCTGGATCACCCTTCTCCCTGACTTCCATCAGCCCTGGGAGACAGAGATGGTGTGAGGGGAGAGGTAAGTGCTGAGTCCCTTCCCCCCACCTCAGCCCGTGCTGGGTGGCATGCCAGAAGCTGGCTCAGGACACCTCACCTGCTATGGCCACTAGACTCTCAGGCTCCATGGAGTGGCCAGCTTCATCGATGAAGATGTGTGTGAAGTGATCAATGGGAAACTGGGCAGAGACCAACCTGGGAGGTTTCAAGGCAGGCAGGGGTCACACCCGGCTCAATTTCCAAACTGGAATGCTCACCCTCACCAACCCCTAGTCTCATTCCCCAGTTGTTCCCAGCCCGTTAGCCCTTTATTTTTAATTAAAAGATAGACACGCTTCCCACCTGTTGGCAGTGATGAGGGTGGTAATTAAGACACGATACTCCTGTAGTTTCTTCTTGGTGGGAAAAATATAATCCCCCTTCTTTGCATCCCAATTACAGTAGGGCTGTGGATTGTGAAGGGAAAAGGAGAGTCAGCTTGTTCTATCCATTCTCAACTGGGAAGGAGTGTGCGCACCTCCCAGGCAACTGTATCCATCTCTCACTTTACAGTGAAACTGAAGGCCAGGGAGGGGTCCCGGCCCATCCAAGGTCACACAGTATCAGAACCCAGTCTCATAGTATCTGGTCTCAGCCACTATCCAGAGAGCATCCCTGGCAGCCGGCCCTCCATGGACCTTATGCACTGCCCCAGTACCTTGATGTCCTCAGGTACCAGGCGGATGTCCCGGCTGGGGGCCAGGAGGCGGAAGATGGAGCTGGGCAAGTGGATGCGGAGCCGCTGACACAGGAGGTCAGCCCCTGAGTTGGACGGAGCACAGGCCAGGATGCGGGCTTTGGGCAAGTGCTTGACCACCTGGGATGGGGAGAAAGGCAGTGTGGGAAGCAGCCCTGGGGATACTAGAGAGAGTCAGTCGTGACTCAGGTTTGGGTACCGTGATGTTTGATTCCCACACTTGAGGAAGATAGTGAGACAAAGGGAAGTTCTGTTCCCTGGGTCCATCCATTTTCGTCTAAATAGCATTTTAAAGCTGAAAAGCTGTTGCAAAAAGTAGACATGTATGTTGGCTGAAATGTGAATTGTGACTGAGCTGGAGGGAGTCAGAATCTGAGGATAACTCTTGGTGGTAGGGGACATCAGAGTACAAGAACCCTATGATTGGGCCCCACCTGCTTGATGGCCTCCACCAAGGTGACAGTCTTGCCAGTCCCTGGAGGCCCAAAAATGATGTAGGGGGCTGGCCGGGTGGTGCCCATGACAATGTGCTTCATGGCCTGCAGCTGCTCCGGGTTGGACTCCAGGCTCCGGTCGTACAGCCTGGCAGAGGGGCCAGCATAAGCATAGGGTCATCCAGTGTCCCAGAAGCCTCCTCGGTGCCTGCTGGAGTCCCACCCTCCAACAGCCTCAGAGCTCCCCTTGCCCAAGGTCTTACTTGAACTTCACATCCGGGGGCAGCCGTGAGATGCCTTGGGAGGCCACGGGGAAGAGCATGGGCCACAGTGGCCAGCGCCCTGTCAGCTCCAGAGCCCGGTGTTGAACCCGCAAGGGCTGGCGGTTGAAGGTGAAGTTCACCTTGAAGGTCAGCCCATCCACAAATTGGTTCAGGAGGCTGTAGGGAAAGGAGAGAGAGGGGAGTTCCAATTAGGGAAGTGGGGAATGAAGTCAGGGTCCCTCTTGATTCACCCATACTCTATTCCCATCATGCAACAGCTCTTCTAAAAAAGAGGCAGCTGAAGAGGATTAAAAAACAAAACAAAACAAAAACTCCTGTGTGTGGAACTTCACTCCAAAGGGCTGTAAGCCTGTAACCTTTTGGAAGATCACCAGGACTTTCTTCTGAGGTGTCTGCATGGGTTTGAACCACAAACATTCTGGTTAGCAGTTGAGCATGTAACCATCTGCACCATCCAAGACTTCACTGAGGCAGCTCGGGAACACCTGGCCCAGCCCTGGGGTCCTGCTCATCTCAGGGAGAACTATTTCTCCTCCCTTGGCCTCAGAGAAAAAGATCTTTCTGGCAGCTCAGGCTTTCCCCAACACCCACCTCTCAGAAAAGCTCAGCTTCACGCGGTCCAGTTCTACCCTGTGCACGAAGCCTTTGTAGGTGACTGGATCCTCCTGGCTTGTCTCAGAAGATAAAAGGGCAAATAGGTGGTCACCTCGCAGCACCGAGGGGCGGCTCTCTGCCACGCCAGGAACCTACGGGGTGAGAAAAGAAGCGAGCTTGTATCCAAGGAAGGCCATGGAAGGCCTGACCTCCACTCTCCAAGTCTCCTCAAAGGCAAAAGGACAGAGGACTTGTGGAGCTCTACCTCCCCCATATGCTTTTCTTTTCCTACCAGATGGAGCAAGAAACAGGAGAAAAGAGAGGCCTTCTCATACTGCTCAGTCCAGGAATCCCAGAAACTTCAGTGCTTAAGTTCAGGACTTAGAGCCAGCTTCTCTGGACACCTCCCTTTTGGCCTGGTTCCTCTGCTGCCTTTAAAATCTTGTTCTAGACCCACTTCTGGCAGGAATTTTTGCATGGTCATCCTCACCCCTCTTCTCCCATAAGGTTCCACCTACAGCTCCTTTCAGTGGGAATCCACTGCCATGATTCTGGGCTCATGATGTGTGCACATTCAGATCTGAGAGCTGGGGAAGGCTCTGCAAAGATCAAGTCCAGCTTTGTGCTGTTCAGATGATGGAGAGAGGGCCCAGAGAGGGTAAGGAACCTGCCCAAGGCCACACGGCTGGTGGTAACAGTCTGGTTCTCTCCTTTGCCCTGCTCTGACACTGCTTTCTGGGCAGAAGATGCCCACCGTGGTTCTTGCTAAGCCCTGCACATAAGGTAACAATTTCACCCTTGCTCTTCTCTGGTCCAGTAGTCAGTGCCCTGCCCACAGCCTCTGAGTCGGGTGACATGAACCCACCCACCCCACCCTGATCTGAGGCCTGACCTCCAGCGTGAGCAGACTGGGGTTCTGGTCTGCAGGGTCCCAGATCATGGGCACCGACTCCAGGTCATAGTGGCGGATGTCCCGCTCCATCTGCAGCTCCTCCAGGTGTAGCAGCAGCCGGAACTTCACCTCGTAGTTCTTGGGTTTCAGGGCTGCCTCCAGCTGGGCCCTGGCAGTGGTGGTTAGGGATGAGAAGGGTGGGAACAAAGTGGGTCAGATAACACCCATGTCCAGAAGAATCTACCCTCTCCCATCCGCTCCTCGGGGTTGGAAAAACATCAGGAACAGGGGTGACTAGAAGGGCAGAAAAGTGGATGGAGATTAGAAGTGTTGAAAAGAGAGCCTGGCTGTTTCCACGCCCATAGATGCCCAGCTCCTGCCCCCTTATCCTGTCTTGGCATTTGTCAAGTGGCCTCAGACCCACCTATGACTCCATGCTCACTTCACTCACAGAGCGCATGGCTGACAGCCCCCTGCGAAACACCATGTCCTTGCCCTGCCTTAGTTTTCTTCAAAGCACTTCCTGCTAGATAACATTCTAGGATCCAAGCTTTAACACACTGCCCCCCACTAGAATGGGCTCGCTGCTCAGGTGTGCTGTCCCCCACTAGACTGGGCTCACTGCTCAGGTGTGCTGCCCCCCACTAGAATGGACAATACTCTCATTTGCCAGGTGTGCTGCTACCTCTCCAGCACCCTGAATACTGCCTGCAGTGGCTGTGCAGTAAATGAATGAATGAATGAATGGACAGGCTAGGAAGCCAAGGGTGGAGGTGCTGGGATCAAGGGAAGAAGCTGGCAAGGAAGAGCTGGAAAGAAGCATAAGGGGAAGAAACCAAGACCTAAAAGGCAGTTAAGTTAGTGTGTGGGGTGGAGAGGAGGCACTCACTTGATGTCAACAACCTCCTTTGGGGAGGTGAAGATACTTCTTCCCTGAAGAAGGATGGGGAGCAGCTGCCTGAGGCGGGATGGTGGGTAGTATGTTCCCAGCGCCATGCTTAGCTCCAGATCATAGCCCTTAGCACTGCAAGAGTGAGGAAGAAAAGCAGTCACCAACATGGACACTCCTGACCCGCAGCTTCTGAGGGAGGCCACCCTGGAAGGCGGAAGCCTTCCCAAGGCCAACATCCTTGAGAGGTGGTCACAGCCATACTCAGCCCAGTGTTGGAGCATCCTCATTTCTGAAAGGATCAGTTCTCAGAAACTTTTTAAAGATAGGAAAAAAAAAATTTAAAAAGTGAACTCTAGGAAAGGGCACATGCTTCTTAGAAGAATTTACCATTCAAGCATAAATGGGAAACATTTTTGCCCAAGAACTAAGTTCAGAAGGCAGGAAAGGTAGGAGAGGAATGTAGGTGGGGACCAGAAATGTAGTGGAGTGAGAGCTGTTACGTTGTGGGGATTGCAATCTGCCCTCGCCAAACACAATGTGTATATGCTGCTGAACAGAAAATGGATCTGCTCTGGAAACCTTCAAACAAATCACAATGAAGAGGTAACAGTAAAGGAAATGTATCAAATAAGTATCACATCTTCAAGGAGCCCTGGTGACACAATTGTTAAGCACTTACTTGGCTGAAGTGAAAAGCTGGCAGTTCACACTTACCTGGTGCTAAAAGAAAAACAATATGGCAGTTGCTCCTAAAAAAGAGTTACGGTCTACAGAACCCTGTGAGGGAGAGGGGCATAGAAAATAATTAACAGATACTTGGGTGACAGGAAATTATTTGTAAAATCCAATAAGGAGTTGATTAGGCATCACAATTCACTAACTACATTCAATTCCAGTTATTGCCATTGAGTTGGAATCAATCAGAGCTGACCCTTCGGCAGGCTTTTGGGCAGCTGTAAATTACACAGGAGTCTGCCCTCCCATCCTTCTCTCAAGGAGCCACCAGCGAATTCCACCCAACAAAAAAACACCATCTTTAGGCTATCACCTCAACTCTGTAATGATGAGGCTACCAGAGGCCCTGATTAATGATATTAATCAATGGTAACTAAGATTATAAAATAAAATGTGTATGAATGATCAAGTAAAATTATAATTACAATGTTATGGAAGAAGTATCTATGAATGGAAAATCCATGTGATTTGTAAACTCTCACTAAGAAAAAAAACTAAAAACCCTATGAATGGTTTATAAACTCTAAAACCTCTATCCTATAGCGTAGGTATAAGTTGAGATTAACTCAGCTGCATTAGGTTTGGTTTTTCAGTTTACTACATGAACTGCCAGGAAAACAAACACATTAATCTTGGAGAGGATTAAACCAAGCTACTCCTTGGAGGCAAGGATTCTGGGGCTTCGTCTGACATACTTTGGACATGTTGCCAGGAGGGACGGGTCCTTGGAGAGGGACATCATGCTTGGGAGGGTGGAGGGACAGCGCAGGAGGGGAAGACCCTCTATGAGATGGATCGATTCAGTGACTGGGGTAATCGGGATGGGTGTGTCAGAGGCAGTGTGGTTGGCGCAGGATAGAGCAGGGTTTAGGGCTGTTGTGCATAGGGTCGCTATGAGTCGGAAACGACTCGATGGCACATAACAACAACAACAACAACAACAACAACAACATGTTTGTTATTAGGTGCTGGGCCAACCGCTGCACCAAGATAGATGGAGTGGAAACTGAGGTCATTAACAATTTCAGCTTGCTCAACTCCACAATCAACACTTTTGTCACCAGCAGTCAGGAAATTAATCAAAAGATGAACTGCATTAGGGAAATTAGGGACCTCTCCAAAGTGCTAAAGAGTAACGATGTCAGTCTAGAGACTAAGGTGCACCTGATCCAGGCCATCATCTTCACTATTACTTGCTATGCATCAGAAAGTTGGACAATGACTAAGGATGACAGAAGAAAAAATCGATGCCTTCAGGTTGTGGGCTCAAGAAGAAGAGTACTGCACATCGACCACCAAAAGAACAAATAGTTCTGTCATGGAGAGGGTGAAACCAAGTTTCTCCTTGGAGGCTAGGATTTTGAGGCTCCATCTCACATACTTTGGAAATGTGTCCAGGAGGGACTAGTCCTTGGAGAAGGACATCAGGCTTGGAAAGATTGGGGAGGGGGGGTGTCAGTGCGGGGGAAGAAGACCCCAGATGAGATGGATTGACTCAGTGACTGGGGTAATGGGAGCAGGTGTGTCAGAGATAGTGAGACTGGCTTAGGATAGGGCAGGAGTCAGAGCTATTGTACATAGGGTTGCTATGATTTGCAGGTGACTCAATGGTATATAACAACAAGAAGCCAATTTCAACTGACAGCAATTCTATACAACAGAGTAAGGTTTCCTAAGCTATAATTTCTTTTTTTTTTTTTAATTATTGTTTTGTGTGTACCGTCAAATCAGATCTGACTGGTACAGGAGGGGATTGCTCCTCCTTCTCTGGCAGAGCATCTGGTGGATTCGAACAGTGTACCTCTGCGATTGCAGTGCAGCGTCTTGCCACTAGGCCACCAGAGCTCCCCCTCTAAGCTATAATTCTAAACCCTGTAAGGTTTCCTAAGCTAGAATCTTTTTGGGGATAGATGATGACCTTTTTCGCCTATGGAGAACCTGGCAGGTATTTGAACTGTCAACAGAAAGGATGGCAGCCGAGTGCTTAACCATTGTGCCACAAAGGCTCCTACAAGATCCCTGAAGGGAAAAAAAGAATCATAAAATAGGTTATAAATAAGTAACATCCTCACCATCAGCAATGAATAACCAGTGCCAACTTTTTGTCTATAGCCTTCCAGAAGACTTTTGTTGGAGTGATGGTAAATCTGTACTTAAAGGGTACGAGCTCCCCAGGTTGGAAAGCACCGATGAACTCAGGTGTGCAGGTAATCATGAAGATGGTGCAAGACCAAGTGGCGCTTCCTTCCCTTGTATGTGGAGCCACCTGATAAGGTAGAGCTGACTGGATGGCAGCGTACAGTTTTTTAATAGGAAAAGCATCATGGTCTGTGAAAGCATCAGTACACAGTGAACTTTTGTAACTTACTATGTGTGAACATCTAGTCATGTCCTATGCATCTGAGAGTTGGACAGTGAATGAAGATGACAGAAGAAAAGATAGATGTCTTTGAGTTTAAGGGCACTAAACATCCCATGGACTCTCAAGAGAACAAACAAATCTATCTTTGAGAAAGTGCAGCCAGGGTGCTCCTTAGAGGGAAGGATTGTGAAACTTGGGTCTCACATATTTTGGGCATGTCAATTTTTAAAAATTTATTATTATTATTATTATTATTATTATTATTATGTAAGTGTACCATCAAATCAGATATGACTGGTATAGGAGGAGACTGTCTCTCCTTCCCCAGCAGAGCATCTGGTGGATTTGAACCGTGCGCCTCTGGGATTGTAGTTGCAGCTCCTTGCCACTAGGCCACCAGAGCTCCCTGGGCATGTCAATTTATGGAAAAGGACATCATGGTCAGAAAGGTGAAGGGTCACTGAAGGAGGGGAAGACCCTCAATGAGATGGACTGATAGAGTGACCTTAGCAATGGGCCCAAGTAAGGGAAAGGTGAGGAAGCTGGGACAGAACAGTGTAAGGTTCAGATCAGCCTGGACAGATAGGAGGGAGGAGTTACCGGTCAGGTCTTTCTCCTTCTTCGACGCGGCTGGTCGTCATGGGGTGTCTAGTAATCTGGGCCCGTTTGAAGGGAGTCGTAGGCTTCAGTTGTGCTGCCAGGTTGCTGTGGGCCACAGCAGCCAAGAAGCGGGCAATGTAGAAAGTTCCAGCTCCTTCAGAACCAGGCTCCCCAGGCCCCAGCAGCTCCCAGAGCACCGTGGCAGGGAAGTAGCCCACAAAGTTGGTTTTACAGTGGACGTGGAGCTCATAATATTCACCTGAGGGGAAATGGGTGAGTCAGTGGAACCCTTCCACCACCATCCCTGGACACTCCCTAACAGACAGCACCATCCCAAGGCAAGGGGCCCACTAGACAGTGACAGGTGCCCCCCAAAGCATCAGCCCTTCCTAGGTAATCCCCAACCCACCAGAGGCTCCTTCCTTCAGAAAGCTGCTCACCTGGGCCCAGTGGACAGGGCAGCTCCTGGTTGTCATCGTAGAAGGTGAACTGGGCTGTCCAGCACAGTGGGAAGAGGTGGGTGAGGGTGACAGGTTGGGTTCCTCCATTCCGAAGCCTCAGGGTCAGTATCTCCTTCCGATTCAAATCCAGGCGGATGAGGAGCTGTCCATCCCGGGTTTCATGAGGTCCCTGGACTTCTACGTCCACTCCATGTTTCCCATGTAGATACTCAGACCTGAGGAAAGCAGGAGACAAGAGGGCGGGGTGGGGGTGTTGGAAAGACCTGGACTAGGACTCGCTCTGCGGAAATGTTTAGGTTGGGGAAGCTGGCTAAATTCTTCTTGTGCTTAGAAAACCTACCTCCTCTTCCCAGACCTTCCTCCCCATTCTCCCATTCCCTGAAGGAGGGGCTTAACTCAACCTAAGTCAACTCTTTCCTAAACAGAGCTCCCTTCACCCAGCATCTCTGGGTCTCTCACACACATACCTGTCATGAAAGATCTTTGCTAGCAGTGACTTGTGTTGTTTGCTGATATCTGACTCCAGCTTCATTCTCCTCTTTTCTGGGACCGTTGTGGCGGCCCAGCGGTCAAGTCTGAAGAACCTGACCCGAGTCTTGGTGACGAAGGCCAGATTTGCAATCTTCATTCCATACAGCACAGAGGAGAAGCCAGGGGCAGGGGTCCCAAAGCTGCCGGAAGCAGAGGAGACTGGAAAGTGAGGGAAGGCAGGGCCAGTGGGAGGCAGAGTGGCTTGTGCGGGAAGAGGCTAGGAGAGGGGTCTGGGGCCAGCTCTGTCCTGAACACACCAGCCCTGCTGCAGAACAGGACTTGCCCCCACCCCCACCCCGACCCAGAGGCAGAGAAACTCGGGCTGGGAATCTGAGGAATTTTAAATGCTCCAAGGGAAGGCAATGGGATTTTCTAAGACAAAAATATGACTTTGTTTGTGCCTTGTGAATTTCTGAGGTGAGAAGCCCACTGACGGGCTGTTGGTTTGGAGGACTGAGGGAAGACAGAAAAAGGAAAGGTGTTTGGGAAAATTATTTCGGACAGAAAAAAATAACAAAACCAAAACAACACAGCAAAAAGAGCTAAGGCTAAGGGGAGACTACGGTGACAGAGAGAGGTGGGTCTGGGGCTCAGCCTGCTCTGAGAAGGGACAGGGGACCAGAGACAGCACAGATGTCCCGAGAGTGTGGGCAAGATGGCTGATCAGACAGCAGTTTCCACCTGAAGTCAAAGGGTGAAGGTGGAACTCAAGCAGGAAGGGAAAGGAGGATCCTTCTCCAGAGATCAAATAGCTTGGCTTTGTGCCTAGAGAAGGTGAAGACAGGGAAAACTGGTCAGAAGGACAATAACCTCAATGTTCAGTACCTGGAATTCAGTTTAGTCAAGTCAACAAACATCTACAGAGACCCGTTATGTGCCAGACACTGGGTTAGATGCTGGGAGTGCAAAGATTCAAGAGACCCAGACCATGCTTCCAGGTGCATGCAGGGACAGGTTACATATCCAATCCAACAGGATGCCCTGAGCAGGACACCAGGGGTGCAGAGGGCCATCCATGCCTGGGGTAGCGGTGGGGTGCCATGAAGGCTTCCCCAAGGAGACAAGTAGCAGGACTGAGTACTGAAGGAAGACCCGAGGAAATAGGGGGAAGGCAAGTGCCCCAGGCAGAGAGTGGAGAGGTAGGGTGTGTGGGAAGGCCGGCCACTCCATCACTCTTGCTGAGTCACCTGATTACTTCACCTCTCAGGACCTCACCCTCTTCCTCTATGAAAGGGACATGACAACAAACTTAACCTGGTGTGAGGACTGCCTGAGATATTGGCACCGTGGTGAGGCACTTAGACCAGTGCTTGGCACATAAGGAGATCTCAGTCAGGGGCGTTACATTAGTACAAAGACAGTTTGGCTGTATTAGAGTGAGAAATGCTCGGAAGGGAACAGCAGGAGGCAGCAGAGGAGGGCAGGGACCAGGTCATGGGCAGAGTTCCACGCCAGGCCAAGAAGCCTGGGCTTGACCTTAAAGGCCAGCAGCCCACCCCTCACCTTACCAGTCCCCAGGGGCAGGCGGACACTGCCATATGTGACGTGCTTCATGAACATAATCAAGATATGGACAGCTGTCCACCGCCCCTTCAGGGAACAACAGGAAATCTTAGTTTGTAAGAATGACAGTAATCCCTATTAAACTAATAACACAGTGTGGTGAATCACTCGGGTGTCACAATTTTATGATCCCTGGTGGTTACTAACATTTCCCGGGTGCTCCTGGCCTGAACTCTGCCCCTCTCCTTCACCTCAAGCAAATGTGAAGATATTCAGAAAACACAGAAGTGGCTCTGATTTTTAAAAAGATAACAGACCACTTACAAATGTTACCTACTATTATTAGTATCCATATTAGTAGTAATTGCAGTACTAATAGTAGCAGTAGTAGTAGTAGTAGTGACAACTTACTTTGAGCCCACGTCAGAGGCTACACTGTGGTTACAGAACCACTCGGTTGGTGGGGTTTAAGCAGGGGAGTGGCAAGATCATATGTGCATTTCAGATCACTCTGGCATCAGGATTGGAGCATGGATTTGCTGGAGGCAAGACTGTAGGTAGGGAGACTAGTTAGAAGAAGGCCATTGCAACAGTCCAATTAAAAGGTGATAAGGGTCCCCAGGCAAGGCAGTGGTAGAGATGGAAGAGGAGAGATCAGATTTGATAATACCTGGAACATAAAACTAGCAGAATATGTAGACTGACAGGAATGCGGAATGGAGGCTGGGAAGAAGGAGGAGTCTCGGATAAGACTCAAATAAATGGTGTGGCTTCAGGGACTATCCCTAAAATGGGAGTAAAAACAGGGAGGAAGAGGAGGAGGAAGTTGGAGGGACCAATCATCCCACTGGATTCAGGCACGTTTGGTTTGAGATTCCTGTGATCAGCCACTGCAGTGACTCAGAAGCTGAGAACTCAGGGCCAAGTCAAGGTGAGAGCCCAATACTAGTAGGGGGCCCTTGGGTAGTAGTCAGACCATGGATGTGTTTGGTCTCTAAACACTGGACCACAACTACCCCCTGAAGTCATCTTTAAACTAGACAGCATATAAGCTTGTTGTGTGTACTGCTGAGTCAGAACTGACCTTATTTAGCTGACCGTCCAGTGGGTTTTCAGAGGCAGTAAATCATATGAGGTAAAACTAGCCCTTTTTCTCCCATGAAGTGGCTGGTGGATTTGAACCGTGAAGCTGTGCTGCAATCCCAAAGGCCCGCGGTTCAAATTCACCAGGTGCTCGCAAAAGAAGGCTGGGCAATCTCCTCCTGTGTGATTTACTGCCTCTGGAAACCCCCTGTAGAGCGTCAGCTATGGGTCAGTTCCGACTTGACAGCACACAAGAAGTCACCAGAACATCATAGCTTAAGAGTTCAGCTTAATTAATAAAACATGTTTGTCCTAAGCACTGTTTTGGTTTTGTGTGGGTGGTTTGTTGTGTTTTGTGTGTTTTTTAAAAAAATTATTTCTATGATATCAAATTAGCAACAGTAACTATGGCACGGATGAGTAGTTTTAGGGGACAGAGGAGTTGAAGTTGATGTTCATGACATGATTTAGGTAGAGTTGGTAAGTAGGAAGACACAATGGGCACTATGTAGCCAATGTTGCTGACCTCTGTTGATAATGAACTTATACATGCATAAACTGTTGAATGGGTGTGTGTCTGGCTGCGTATACATTTTCTGCCATAAATCAATACTAAAAAATGCTTACTGAAGGAGCAACAGAATGAAAACACATGGAAACTCTGAAGCAGAGCCAAAAACAGTGATCTGTAGAATATATTATCATTTCCCAAAGAATAGTGCTCTGTGGATTATATCACCATTTCCCAAAGGCAGAACTATAGTAAAACTAAAAATAAAACTGTGGGGGATTCTCCCTGGGAAGTATGAGCAGCTTGCGAATAGCCTAGGCCAGGTCAGCAGCCCTCAGAGGAAGAGAAAACAGGGAGGAGAATGGAGAGGAAGCCTCCATATATGGCCTGGGGTCCAATGCTGATAAGGAGTCCAGCATTAAGGGGACCAAAATCAGGAGGTCATTAGCAATGCTGGGAAGTCATGTTCAGCCCAAGGGAACACTCCTTGGTACCTGCAGCCCTCTCAGAGACCATATTCAGGCCCAACTATGGGAGTCATTACTGTAAGGAAGACCATGTCCCTCCTGACCTTGCTGCAGGAAAGAAAACAGAGCAGGAGGCAGGAGAAGGGGTTCCAGGCCTCTAGATCAGGGTTGGGAGAGTGGAATTGGCCCTGAGGGGATGAAACCTCCTAGGGATCACATGCCCTTCTAAAGCAGTAACAGACACTCATTTCCTCCAATGTTGTCTGTCAGAAAGGAATATATGGCCCAAGGTCACAAGTTTTCCTGGCTTTAAAAAGAAGCCCAAATAAAACTTTGTTTGAAACCTCTTATTTGTGGGATTTCTGTTGGCTTAGTTGGGTAAAGAATGCCAAAGGCATTCAGTTCTAATCTATCAATTGCTCCACATTTCGCCTTGTGAGTTATAGCCTCTGAATATATGCTAGAGGGTCAGCTATGAGTCGCTTGTGACTCAATGGCAATAACTATTGATTTTGGAATTTAAAAAAAAATTTAAAAAATATCTGCATAAGCACAGCAACAGGCAGGCAGAACTCACCTTTATATATTTTGCAGCTTCTACTGAAGATGCTACTTGCCACCTAAATATGTTTGTCATTATTTCTAATACCTGTTATCACTACACAATTCACTAAGGTTACAGCCATTAGGAAAAAAAATCAAAAGGTTAGAAAAAGAAAAGCATGTACTACTATGTTTATTGCTGTGTGATTCACAGTAGCAAAGCCAAGTGCCCCATCAAGAAATGAACTGATAGAAAAACTATGGTACATTCACACAATGAAATATTATGCAGCACTGAAAAACAATGAACTATAAAACATGACACAACATGGGGGAGCCTGGAGGACATTATGCTGAGAGAAATAGCTCAGTCACAAAAGGACAAATACTGCATAACACCACTGTTATAAAAGGAGGAGTTGGGAAAAGAACAGGTAGATAATGAATATGCCTTAGATCAGATGAGGGGAAGAGCTGTTCATAAGGAATATATGATTATGCATTACATGTATGACAACAATCCGGAACAAGAGGTGTATTGCAAGGAGCCTGGGAAGAAGGAAAAGTGAGGGGGGAAGGAAATGTGCAACACGGAAGAAAAATGAAATAAAAAAAAATCAATAAGAGTGCATCTAAATTCCAAAATCAATCTCCATAATAGTCTATGTGTTTCCTACTGCCAAAGGGGCCCTTTAGAGTAGTGGAATCCCAAAATCTCTGTAAATGTTTATGAAAATTAATAAAATATAATTATAGAAAAAAAGAAAAAAAAAGGTAAAAAAAAGAAAAGGAAAAAAAAAATCAATAAGAGTGCATCTAAATTCCAAAATCTATCTCCGTAATAGTCTATGTGTTTCCTACCGCCAAAGGGGCCCTTTAGAGTAGTGAGAGAAGACCTTCACCCTGAAACCCACAGCGTCCCTTTTCAGCAGGAAGTAGCTAAGAGAATACGCCATCCCCTTTTCCTTATGACTCAGGGTGAAGTCTCTCTCAGG